TTTAATAATCTTACAACTTTCTATATATGGATTGTGTATTTGAAAATTTACTGTCAGTACTGAAATCTATCTTACTGCACATAAACTACGGATTTTCAGTAAATTTCGAAACACAATCTTCGGGTACGATTATCCATCTCACAAGTGAATCTCTTGGTGAAAATTACAAAAGTGAGTGAATTTACTAAAATATTTATAATTTTATTGATTAACATTTAGTGAATTTGCTTACTTATGTATAATTTCCATCTCGTTTCAAGACACACAGTCAGCTTCCTATTTGCGATGCCATCTCTAATTGCAACGTATTATAATTTCAAGTTCGTCCTCTCCAGCTGAGTTTAGGATTACGAGGAATCATCGACAAAACTGACGTCGCGACGTATCGTCCGCAGTCGGACAGACTGTCGCCGACGATACGCGTCTCAGCTCGTTCGCCGCGGATGATTCACTCGGTATGATCACCGTCAAGGAACGAACCGTGTAAATTCGCCTTTATGTGTCGGCTACTCGTGCATGTATGCGTGTCTCGTGCGTGGCCGGAGGCCGCCCGTGCGCGCGCCACGTGAACAAAAACAAGCGGCGCTCTCCTCCTCGATGAACGCGATCGAGGCGGAGCGCGGTTAAACGTAAGGCTTCTACCAAACGTCAGTCTGAACACGTCCTAGAAGGCCTGGATTCTCCACGGTTCTCTGTCGACCTTCGGCTTCCCTCGTCCGTCGTTCTCGTCGCTAAATCAAGACTAGTCCCCGAGAAAAGCGCGCCAGTTTACGTTCCATTCCTCGTCTCCCGATGATCAACTGCGAGCTTTCTAGCGCAAGCGCTTTCAGCGTTGACTGATCAAAAGTATGGAAGACTGGTTTCAATAGTATCTTCTGAATAGAAATTATGTTAAAAAGATCTGTGTGTGTGTGTGTGTGTATGTGTGTGTGATCGGATATCGTAAAATAATCTCGAGATAATTATAAACACAAAATCAATATTTAACACGGAAATAAATTCCAATATTGTTAGTAACCAGTATTATATTTAAAATATCTTCTTTTTCAGTCAAGTCTGATAAAATCTAGTTAGAGAGAAAAAAAATATTTACTCGAAATTTTCTTTCAGAAAGATATTCGGTGACATTAAGACATAGAGAAATGCTATCCAAGATTATCTATCCAAGATAAATCTAAAGGAAATTATTAATTGATGAATCAGTAAAAAAAATGTCAGCCTAATCATGAGCAGTATAAAAAATTATTTCTTTTGAATATTTATGAAATAGTATCTGAATGAAATTAATTTTAAAATTCCTGATCGGTGTACTCTCAATCTAACGCAATTAATTAAATTTATTAAAACTGAACACACGCTGTTGCCTTTTTTTTTCGCTTAAATCTATAGAGAGTGTCAAATTTAACCTAAATTAAATCGCCATTTCTCCTACTCAATATATTGTTACTTTGTACAAATGTGTAAAACAACGGTTAAATTTGACACTATATAGTGTCAAATTTGACGCTACGTGGTGTCAAATTGACACACTATATAGTTTTAAATTTGACTATTGTTTTGGTATAAAATAACGATATATTGAAAGGGAGCAGTGGCGATTTCATTAGGTCAAATTTGACACTATAGATTTAACAGTGTAGATTTTATTCGTACGAACAAATCCTATGAAATCTTCAATTACAACCGATAATAGAAATTACGTTGTAAAAACATTTGCGCATTTTCACTCGCATATGTATGCGAACATCATCGTAATTAAAATCAATCGTAAACTACTCCTTGGACGTTTACATATGCAGTATGCGGTTTATTGGGCGCGTTAAGAGTACCGTAAATCGAACCGCTTATTATCAGGAATATTATACATGCGTTGGATCTCATTAAATTATTCAAACTGCAATAACGTTGCGTTACGCGCCAATCGCTGTTTATAAAAAGCTCAACGTTGCATTCAGCATACATTATTTAAAAGCGTACATTAAACTGTTGATGGAAAGTTGGAACGAAGTGACTCGATTGGAAATCAATATTTTGAAGAAAAAAAATTCTAATCTGTATACGGTAGTATAATTTATCCAGAAAATAGTTATTTGAAGACTTGAGATCGCTATTATTAAGAATCCCCCCCCCCCTCCACAAAAAATCTATATATTTTTTATATGTTACATAATCCGTCAGGAAAATAAATGGAGAATTAGAGCTAATTCTCAAAACGTACGAGTTTTGCGTGCTGGATTCTCATTAGAAATAACAATCTCCGTCAGCTGAATGATTTAACGACGCATTGGGCATGAGGCAACATTGTAAGAGAATTGTATTTTTTTACAATGTTTTACTTATTACGAGACGGATAATTACGTACGACGATAGATAAAGTGCTTAAGAATCTTGAGAAACGAAAGCGGTGAATTTAATCAAACTTTTCGCTCGCGTTTGCCTCAAAACGCAATTAATGTGAGTTAGCACTTTCTCCCTCCCATGTCCCCCTTTATCCCCCTTTATCCCCCTTTATCCCCCTTATCAAGCGATGTGTCGCGGGTCACGCGAGCACGCGAAAACCGGCGTCTCCACATTGCAAAAACGCGAAACCGTCACACCGTCGGTGCACGGCACCGAGTTCTCCACGCGATGCTTTAGCGACACAATGAGATATGAAAATAAAACGTAAGGGTAGAAAAGAAATTGCATTTCGATCCCGATGTCGAACCTTCTTTTTTCCCCTTTTGAAATAAGAGCGAACGAACACGGAGGACGCATCCACGTGTTATCGTTTGCGCAGCAATAAAAAGAACGTAACGTCAGAATTCAGGTGGCGTGAAGCATATAAGCTTATTATACGAGTTTCGCTATTGAGGATTAAACGAAAAATCGCAAACCGCAATGATGTGTTGTGAAAATGCCGCAAAACCATTTTACAGCAGCACATATCTTTTTCTTACTTTTTTCTCAGCTCATTTTCGTTCAGTTCATCGATCGTGCTTATAGAGCGGTGTCAGGGTTGTCACGAATTCCTTCCATCCTAAAATTCCATAATTTTTTCAGACAAATTTTCATAATTTCCCCTTTCCGTGATGTTCTCAGTAATACTTTGAAATTTTTTTCTATTTTAAATTTGATTTGGAAACCATCAAATATTTTGTCGAGGCAGCAATTTAAGATAGCAATGTAAATTACCGTTGTTGACAGTTCTTTGGATTTAATTGCCAAGTTGGTAATATTTCAAAAACCGCGTAGATGTGATGTGTACACCTATATTAAACTTCTTTGAATTCAGGAATTTTAATTTTCTAAAAAATTTTGTGTAAAATTCTGCGACCTTCCACTGACCGTTTTCAATTTCCCTAACATTTCCAATTTCATGGCAACTCTGAGTATTTTGCGCAAGCAACCAATTTTTCCCGATCCTTCGCGTAGATTAATTACCTGTCGTTGCGAACTTCGCGAACCGTTCCGTAATAATTGTCATCCTAATTTATGCGTTTCCCTCTTCCTCGTGGATTCGAGCGGGGATAACGTTCGCAATATCGACAACTCGATGCGACTGCTCGCATCACCGCGGGCGATTGCGCGAAACGAGCACCAGCCAGCGGCAACTTTCGTGCCGCGTTTATGAGAGAAGTTCGTCGAACGCAGAATACGCGCGCGCCATTCCCCGCATGTTTTCCTCGCGACGCACGCACGCGAGATATGCCGCAAACGCTTGTTAAATCATAACCGTAATGGAGGGCGCATTGCATTACGGCCGAAAATGCACTTTGGCAATCGGCTCGCGGCGATAGAATTTTTTTTTTCCTCACTTTTCCACCTCGTTTTCGAGGCCTCGCCTGGCTAACAAAATTCTCAGCACAGAACCGATACTTTCCTCATTGCGATAACCGCAAAATACGATTCCAAACTCCTCGTGGAAACTCTCTGATCACGCGCGATTAAAAAATTACGCTTTGAAACGCGCAGGAAGGTTTATTTAATGAAAGATGAAGTGTTTTTTTTTTTTTTTACGGTTAAAAGCACGTTTCGAATATTTCTGCGCGATTTTTCCGTCGCATCTCCCTCTTCACAGTTGCACCGTTAGCGATGGACGTCGCGCGGAGCGACATCCAGAATAAATAACAGGTTTAAATAGATAAAAAGCCAGTGGCACTTTTAGTACGTCCCATTTCCGTTACTCGATTCGCGCACCGATTTCAGAACGATGCAGTCTCATCGCGGGCTTCTGGGTTGCACCAGGCAGGAGGTCAAAGACCGCGGCAGACGTTACAGCCGTTTGAGACCTGGCGCGGCGACGTATCTCCACGTATACCTCCAGGTGCATCGCGAGTATTCTCGTCGCGAAATTATCCACGACAAGTCACGACGCCATCGTTCCGATTTTACGACACTGCCGGTCCTTCCAACAAACGTGTCTCCTTTCGCCGAAAACGGGAGTGCGGCGAATACTAATACGAATAATAAATTTAAAATAGAAACGGCGAGGGAATTCTCATGATAATGCATAAACAAGTGATGCGGTCATTAAATTTTTTTGCGATGTTAAATAAAGCGTTTCTGGTAATAAAATAAATGTGAGAAATCCAGAACATCCTCCGTACAATGTAATATTTGTCGAGGAAATTATTCGTATGCTTCATTATAAAATGATAAAATTTGCACCCCGTGTGAGCTTTTAACTTCGACACGCGAATACATATAATTCGAGATATCTCGTTTTCGACGGAACGCGAGTTTTAAAGCAGATAGTAAACGGATGTAGGTATTCCATGCGTGTATTCGGGCAGATTATTAATGGTAGAATAAATCTGCATGAAAAGATAATCGGTAAAAAAAAGAAAAGAAAGTAGAATCTAGTCATTAACGTGGATCGTTTTTGAATATTTTGCTCGATGTAATTCGCAATGATACACAATACACGCTCATCGATGTAAAGCAAAATAAATCAGGAATGTTTCTTCGCGTTGAAAGAATAAAAAAAGAACACACACAAAATAGAAAGATATACTTACTAATGCGCAATTATTTAAATCGGCAGTATGTCTCGGTTAAAGTGCAACAGGTTGTGTTGACCTCTAATGTTTCTCAGCGCGAAACGAATTTAGGAGAATGATTAATATCCACGATTGACACAAGTTAGCATATTACGATTATTCACACTGGCATTATTTGCACAATAACTCGTTGTCACTCGTTGCCGGCGCGATTAAAAAGTTATGTCCAGCCCGGTAATAATGCATTCGCACGACCATCTCGAATCAATTACCGCGTAGAAATTGGTTGCGACCGGAAGCCGAGAGTGGTATGTTGTCACGTTGGTGTAGCATAATTAACACACAGAGTTGCTTACAAAACACAACGTATAATCTTCGTCGACTTCTTTCGACACGACGCGCGGTATGCGCGAGGAATTTTGTAATTCTCCAATTTTTTTTTTTTTTTTTTTTTTTTAAAGCAGATATTAAGCAAATATGTAGGAGCGATATTAAGAGCGCACGGAGAGATTAGAGGGAGATAGCACGGTGCTGCGAGCTCGATTTTCCGTTACCGAGATTGCAAACTTTCTGCATTTGTAAAACAGTCCGTGTGCGGCACTGCGCATGCTGGTGTATGCCGAGAATTTTCTTCACGAGGCTATCTCTTCAAGGCTCTTTCTTCGTTAAACAATTCATAGTCCAGAGACTTGCCAAGAGCTGCGTCACGTGTTATTTCACTCAATCTCTAATCGTCATTCATTCAATTACGTTCTACAGATCACCGTTCGTTCAAGGCAAATTTGCTTAAATCTATCATCTAAATTTGATTTCACATCACGAAACATCTCAATACATCAAGATCTCGATCATTTATTACCTCCATTTCTCTCATTCGTAGTTTTGGCAAGCTTGTATGTTTCACAATAATTAACACTCCGACACTTTCAATCACTCAAAGAGTCTCGTGACTCAAAAGGTCTACTTTTTATTTCTGCACTAAACTGCACTACATAGAACATCAATATCAAACGTACATCAATCTAATTTAAAAATTCCAAAAGTTCCCACTGGTTCAGCCAAAGAAAATAGATTTAACGATCATTAACATATTGACGTTCGCGTTGACGAAGGATTCATACCAATTCGCTCGAGGAATTCACGGACGGCGAGGGACACTCCACGAGTCCACACGTCGACAGTGCGAGCGCGGTCACTGCCGGTTATTCGACGGTTAACGTACCGGTTGGCAGCCGGCAAAGAGCGGCCTGGCGCAGTCGTATAAAGACTCCTCCGACTGAAACGACGAACCGGCGCGACGCGACGCGACGCGGTTAATCGTGTGCGCCGTGTATCCGTTTACACTCCGTGCGTGTCGCATCGTGTCTCTCGCTCCCTTTTTTTTTCACCACTCTTCCCTCTCCCCCTCTGTCTCTCTCTCTCTCTCTCTCTCTCTCTCTCTTCCTTTCCATGCTCCCTTCGTTCTCTCCCATTCCGCGTCTCCGTCTTGCCTCGCGCTCCTTTCGTCTCCTTGTGCACGCTCTCGCACGAGCATGTACGGGGTGTCCCGAGAGTTATAACCGTGATAGACGAGAAAAAGAGAGCCGAAAGAGCGGTCGATCATCGAATGGAGAACATAAGCGATACAGAAAATCGAGTGTTGACGTATGAAAACTCGCTGAACGAGAATATAAACGAACGAATGAAAGAATTCGTTCCGAGTTCGAGGATTCGTTATTTCACCGCCCGCACCGGCGCTTGCGCTACCGTTTTATCTCCATGAGAAAATTCACTTGGCACGAAACAAACAAAGACGCGTGCGTTGCGGTCAAGGTGCAATGAACCCCGAGCGCTGTCCTCTGCGCGACCGAATCCACGACAAAGGTGCGATCTCGAACTCGAAAGCAGTTAAAGGCGAAGGAGACGCGATATGGCTCGAGACACCCCGTATGCGTACACGCGTACGTATCGCACGCACGCACACTCCCGTGTCGAAGGCAGAAAGAAAGAAGAGATGTATGCAGGCACACACGCGCGCACGTGCGCGTAGACGAGAGAGAGAGAGAGAAAGCAGCAGCGCGATATCTTTCGAGCCAAGCCCAGCTACAGCGTCCAAGGTGCGTCACGCTCGGAAATATGCGTGCAGTGCCTTCCGCCTCACCCTATACGAGCTTACCGAAGCACTACGGCGCGGCAGCCGCGGTGCCGATATGCACGCGCGTGCAGTCAAGTTGCGCACGTCACCGGGCGGTCGGACTCTCGAGCGCATGGATTCGAAACCAAGGGATATTGTACTAAGGGACTAAGGGCGCTCACGAGGGAAGAAAAGGACGAAGAAGAGGGTTTGGGAGAGGAGGGGGGATACACGTCAGGGCAGTCGATGTGAAACCGGTGGACCTGCGGATTATTTCGTGAGTGAGAAATTCGATCGAAGCCTCTGTCTGCCTGCCTGCCTGCCTGCCTGCCTGTTTGCTTGCCTGCCTGCCTGCCTGCCTGCCTGCCTGCCTGCC